GTCTATCTATGTATCATCTATCTATCTATAGCCCTGGCACACAACGAGGGGCGATTCGGTCCCCCAGTGGACAGGACATGCGCAGACGGTCGGTTGTCCCCAACTTGGAGGGCAGCTACTGCCATCTAGTGGAGAGAAACCAGAGATACTGCTAAATACCCTGCAATCGCCCAGGGCAGCCCCACAAAAATGAATGACCTGCCCCCAAACAGCACTAGCGCTGAGGCTAAGTGCCGCACGCCCACTGCGCCTCGTCGACCCCATCTCCGCCCCCCACCGCGCCCCGGGGACCCCTCATCTCCGTCCCCCACAGCACCCGCGGGGACGCCTCCACCGATTCACACGGACACTCCTTTTTTTTCCCCCATCGCCCTCTTAGTGCTCCCAAGGTGCCCCTTGGTCTCCGGGTTCTGAGGACCTGGAGACCGCCCTCGCCCCAGGCCCCCAGCCCGCGCCCAGCTCGCGTCGCCGGCTGCAGGACGGGGACGGGGCGAGCGTGGGGGCGGGGCTTCGTGGGTGGGGCGGGGCTTCGTTCGGGGCCGGCAAGGAAGAGGTCCGGATGCGCTTCCTCCGAGGGGGGGCGGGCCCTGGGTGGGGCTTCGTGGCGGGGTGGTGGTGGTGGTTGTGAGGCCTGGGCGGAGCTCCAGTGGCCGGGGCGGGGCTTGGTTGGGGCGGAGCCGGGGCGGGGCCCGGGCCGCGGTGGTAGGCGCGCGTCGCTGGGCGCGCGGCCTGGGACGTGCGGTTCTAGGCGCGGAGTCGAGCTTGGGTCGGGTCGCGGCGGCACCATGGTGCTGTGCCCGGTGATCGGGAAGCTGCAGCACAAGCGCGTGGTGTTGGCCAGCGCCTCCCCGCGCCGCCAGGAGATCCTCAGCAACGCGGTGAGCGGCCTGGGCCTGGCCTGGGCCGGGGTCTGCAGGGCCGGGGTCTGGCACGGGCCTAGTGACCCGGGCCTAGTCACCAGGGGCCTAGTGGCCCGGGGGCTAGTGGCCCGGATTACAGGGGCGGAGGGCCGGAGTCTGCAGGGCCGGGGCCTAGTGACTGGGGGTCTGGGGTCTCTGCAAGGCTGGGGCCTTGAGGGAACCAGGGGGCAGGACCCTAGTGACCGTGGTCCAGGCCTGTGGGCCGGGGGGAAGGAGGAGTCTACCTGATCGGGGGGGCCAGCGTCTTCCAGCCAGGGCCTGGAGACCTGGTGCCCTGCCGGGCGGGATCTGTGGGGCTTCAGGCCAAGGCCAGGTCTGTGGGCCTGAGCCGAGTCTGTCCAGGAGCCGGGAGGGAGGGAGGGAGGAGGGAGGGAGGGAGCGGACAGAGGCTCCAGCGGAGGCTTGGTCTTGATGGGAAGGCCCTGCCTGGGGGGGCGGAGTGGGCTGGGGTAGGGGTAGGGTTAGGTGCTGAGTAAGGGGTGCTGCCTGTACCTCCAGGAGGAGGACGGGCGGGTGCTGTGCTGTGTGGCGTGGGAGGGTAGGGGAGAGGGGAGTGGAGGGGGCCCTGGCAGGACATGGGCGGGGAGAGGGGCGGTAGGTGCAGAGTGAGGGGTGCCGGCTGGGGTAGTACAGAGCCAAGGGGGGCTCACAGTGTGGTCCAGGGGGACCTGGGGGTGCGGGAGGTCCGTGATGGAGGGGAGAGCGCTGGGATGCAGGGAAGGTAAGAGCCAGCTGGGTGCTCCGCGGGGTTCCCCATGGGGATGGGAGTTTTATCCTCTGTGGGCAAGACCCGCAATCCTGTCCCCATCCCACTCTGGATGTCACTGTGTCCATGACCTGCCTTCCACAGGGGCTGCCTGGTCACAGGTGTTAGGGGACCAAGTTAAAGCAGCCATATTCACCCTCGCGCAGCCCTAATTAGTGGCATTTTTGTGGCATTTCGTGCAGGCTGTGTCATTTCAGCAGTTTGACCTCTGTGGAGGCAAAGCCTTTGGGACTCTCTGGGAGCCCTTTGACCCCTCGAGGCTGCAGGCCCCAGCATCGCAATCAATACAGCCCTGCTGGCCTCTGCGTGTGCAGAGGTCTTCCCGCCAGCGCCCCCGGGTCCTCTGCAAGTCCCGCACCCCCTGCGGCCGGGGGCTGGTGCTGGGTCAGCATCCGGTGCCTAGACCAGATAGTCAGGGAAGGTGGGCTGCGCGGGGAAAGGCCAGTTCCTTCAGAGCCTGCACATCTGTCAGCATCCTCACGTTCCTCCCATAAACCCTCCCGACCCCTTCTGTCCTGTTTCAGGGCCTCAGGTTCGAGGTGGTCCCTTCCAGGTTCAAGGAGAAGCTGCATAAGGCCTCATTTGCTACTCCGTACGCATACGCGGTGGAAACGGCCAAGCAGAAGGCCCTGGAGGTGGCCGGCAGGATGCACCAGGCGAGGGCTCCTGCTTCTGCTTCTTCCTGGGTCTCCTGCTAGGAGGGCATCTTCAGGTTTTAAACATACGTGTTATAGATAAGTGCAGTTAGTCTCGCGTCTCTACGGCTGAGGGTCCTCATGTTGAACACTGCTGTAATTTATGTGATAGTATCATTTATAGAACGTAGCTTACCTCTTACTTTGCTAGGATGTAACATACTATTGCAGTTCATATCATAGTATCATTTATGATAAAGAATTGATCTACCTGATCTATTACTAGGTGTTACCATGTCATATGCTATTGTAACTAATATAATAGCATCGTTTATGATATAGAATTAATGTAGTTTATCTCTTACTAAGTGTTACTATATAATATATTATGATATTTAATATAACAGCATCATTTATGGTACAGAAATAACCTAGCTTATCTATTACTGTTACTATATAATATACTATGGTATTTAGTATAACAACATCATTTATGATATAGAAACAATACAGCTTCTGCATTACTATGAGTGTTACTGTATAATATATCATTGCAATTAACATAACAGTATGACTTACGATATAGAATTAACTATAGAATAAATGTATCTTATCTATTATTAGGTCTTATTATATAATATACTCTTGTAATTAATGTAACAGTATCATTTATGATATGGAATTAATGTAGCTTATCTATTGCTGTGTGTTACTATATAATATACTAATTAATATAATAGTGTCATTTATGATACAGAATTAAAGTAGCTTACCTGTTACTATGTGTTATAATAATACCTAATGGCAGTTAACATATATGACCCATATGTTCAAGTTAATGCTGTAAGAAGTACTGGTATAAATAAATGAACATTAATGGACTGATTTCCGGCCGTGGCAAGGTTAGAATTTAAGTGCAGCCAGAGCAGAAGGTTGTGTGCAGGTTTCCAATGAGTGTCTTGGGGTCACGTCTTCCTTGCTTGGTGTGTCGAGGACACTGAAATCTTGCTTTCCAAAGTGAGACTGGATTCGCAAGTAAGCAGCGATGCTGTGTCATGTGCGTCATGGCATGAAAACGTGTAAGGCGTGCGGAGTCGTCCTTTCTAAAGCTGAGTCTGGATTTCTTGCAGAAGGACCTGCGGGCCCCTGACGTTGTCATCGGAGCAGACACCATCGTGGTGAGTCTGCTTTCTGGCTCTCCGTGTGGCGGGCATGTCCTTGGTAACCGAAACCAAGGCCTCGGCAAGGCTGGTTCTTTCTGGAAGACCTAAGGGAGGATCCGTCCCAGGCCTCTCTCTCTCTCTCTCTCCCCGCCCCACCCCGGCTTCTGGTGGTTTGCCTGAAATCCCGGGCATCCCTGGGCTTGTGGCCGCATCCCTCCCATCTCTGCCTCCGTCTTCACATGCCTTCTCCTCTGTGTCCCAGTTTCCTTCTTCTTATAAGGACACCAGTCATCATGGATTAGGGCCCACCTACTGCAGTACGACCTCATCTTAAATTTTCTTACATCTGTAAAGACCCTATTACCAAATAATGTCCTGTTCACAGGGCCGGGCATCAGGGCCTCGGCATATGTTTTGGAGGGAAACGGTTCTCGCTAAGATAGGGGTTTTGGCCACTGAGGGTTGGACTTTTTGGTGGGAGGTCACAGTGATCGGTACGGTAGCTCTGCCATGCTGGTGACAACCCTCTGTCTGAGACCCTCGCTGGCCTGATGGCAGGCATCTCCCAGGGATGCTGGGCCTCATTGCTAGGGTACCATCATGGTCTCCAGGCGAGGGACCACCTGTTTGAAAGAGTCTGGAGTTACTGTGTAGAACAGGGAACTATATTCAATATCTTGTAATAACCTGTAATGGAAACGGATCTGAAATACATATATGTACATGTATATATATATGTATACGTATAACTGAACCACTTTGCTGTATACCTGAAACTTACACAATATTGTAAATCAGCTGTAAAGAGCCCAGGGTCGGAAAATGCCAGATGGGGTGATCCCAGGGTCTGCCTTGCCCTCAACGTGGCATTTGTTTCTGTGCAGCCCAGGTGGATGGGACCTACCTGTGTGCAGGTGAGAATCAGACATCGTTTCTGGTTCATGGTCAAGGCTGCATGGAAGTAAAAGAGTGAATGGTGCAGTTTCTTCAAAATGTTAATCGAAGAATTACTATATGACCCAGCAGTTGTGTTATGGGCTGAATTGTGTCCCCCAACCCGATTCCTATATTGAAGTCCTAGTGCCCAGGACCTCAGAACATGACTGTATTTGGAGATGGGGTCTTTAAAGAGGGGATGAAGGTAAAATGAGGTCACTAGGGTGGGTTCTGATCCCACAGGACTGGGGTCCTTATAAGAAGGGGGGATCAGGACACAGACACACACAGAGGGACGACCCTTTGAGGACACAGGGAGGAGACTGCCGTCTACACGCCCAGGAGAGAGGCCTCAGGAGGGACCAGCCCTGCTGACACCTGGATCTCAGATTCCAGCCTCCAGGACTGGGAGACATAAATGTCTGTGTTTAAGCTGCCCCGTCTGTACTGCTCTCGGGCAGCCCCAGCTAAGACATCTACGCTTAGGTATATGCCCCAAAGAATTGAAAATAGGTGTTCAGACAAATATTTGTACGTGAATGTTCATAGCATTATTCGCAACAGCCAAAAGGTGTGAACAACCCAGATATCCCCCCCTTTGATGGACGGATGGGGTCCATGCACACAGTAGAATATGACTCAGCCGTGAAAAGGAGTGAAGCTGTGACACAGGCTACAGCGTGGATGGACCTTGAACACAGGATGCTCAGTGAGAGAAGCCAGACACAGAAGGACACACAGTGTGTGATTCCATTGACAGGAAACGTCCAGAACAGGCAAATCCACAGAGACAGAGAGCGGGTTGGGGTGTCAGGGGCTGGGGAGGGAGGTGGGGAGTGACAGCTCATGGGGATCGAGTGTTCCAGATGATGAAAAAGTTCTGGAACTCAACAGCGGTCCTGGCCCAACCCTGGAAATGTACCACACACTTTAGTTCAAAATGGTGAAATTCATGTTATACACATCTCTCCTGCTTTAAAAAAAAAAAAAAATGTGAATCTAAACAGTGGACAGTGCCGCTTGCACAGACCAGCCCAGGGAGCGGAAAATGACGCTTTCCCTCCCGTTTCTCTTGCAGGCGGTGGGAGCGATGATCCTGGAGAAGCCTGTGGACAAGCAGGACGCCTACCGCATGCTGTCAAGGTGGGTGGGCCTTGGCCGTCCTACGGGGAAGTAGCCCTGCATCCGACAGAGCCTGGGCCCGGTGGAGGGGCCGGGCTTCCTCGGGGTGGGCTGTGGGTGTCCGTGCATCACCTCCCCCGTCTCCCACCGGCAGCCCCTCCAGGTCCAGGTCCAAGGCTGGGCCGGTGCCCTCGAACGTCCGCTGCGCTGGCTTCGCCCTAACGGGCTTGTCCGGGAGCCCCATGTCTGCCCCTCCTCACTTTCCTCATCCTGACTCCCCCTGCCTTGTCGCCCCAGGAGCCCAGTGCCCCCGAGCTCCCGCCATGGGAAGCAGGCCCTGTCCCTCTCGGCGTCCCGGAACCCTGCCCCCGGGCGGGAGTGGGGGGCCACACCACCGCCCACCTTCAGGGTCTCTTCCTGGCTCAGCACCCCCGCGTGTCTGCACCCAAGAGAGCGAAGGGACCCGAGAAAGAGCCGCTGAGAGCTGCCAGGACCCGGGTCCTCCCGGCGTGGCCGGAGACTCCTGTCGGGGCCCAGGTGCTCCGTCCTCGCATCCCGTGAGACGGCCCGGCCATCCCCCAGCCCCCACTCCGAGGGCACCGAGCGCCCTCTCGCCTGGACCTGCGCGCTTGCTGCGGGAAGGTTTCCCTGGAGGCCGCGTGGCCAGGGCCGGCGGGTGGACCAGGGGCTCGCGCCCGGTGGTGGCAGGGATGGCGCTGTCTCGGACACCCCACACGGTCGCCTGCTGGGCCCCGTCGTGTCTTGCAGGCTGAACGGGAAGGAGCACAGTGTGTTCACGGGCGTGGCCATTGTCCACTGCTGCAGCAAAGGTACCACGGCCACCTCCGCCCCCCCCCCCCCGCCCCCCGGGGTCGGGCGTTGTGAAGGGAGCCTGGGGGCCTCGGGGACCCGGGTCCGCGGGGGCGGCTCTGTCTTTGCTCCCCGTGACCCCGCCTTCTCGTCCTGCCTGGGAACGTCAGGGTCCCACGGGGAAATCCTGGGGTGCACGCTGAGCGCCCGATGGAGACCGTGCTGGGGGGCGGGGGCCGTCATAAAAGCCCGTCCAATGCGACCGGCCCAGATGCTTTCTTTGAGGTTTTTGGTCTGGAAGGTGGAGGAGTTTGGCCCCTGTTGGCGAGGGTTTTCTCTGTGTGTGTTTTGGCCGAGCCATGTGGCTTGTGGGGTCTTAGTTCTCCGACCGGGGATCAAACCCGTGCCCCCTGCAGTGGAAGCGCAGAGTCCTAACCACTGGGCCGCCGGGGAGGTCCCGACGGGCTTTTTTTTTTTTTTTTTTTTTTTTTGTGCACAATTTTTAAAGCTGCGTAAAAGATATTTCAGGTCCAGGGAGGACCCTGAGGCTGACTTTGAGCTCTTGGGCTCCCCGAGCACATCCCACAGGTGGGTGACCGCGCACCTGTCTGCTAATTAGTGATTGGGTTACTCTTACCTTCTTGGTCTGTCCTGGACTTTAACCTGTGCTCTTTGGGGAGAAAGCACTTGCTGGACAGTGTGGTTCCTTTCCCTGGGGCTTGAGACCACAGGCATCCATCCTCCCCCATCCTGGACACCAGACGTCTGAGGTCAAGGTAGCCCAGGGCCGCGCTCCCTCCAGAGGCTCCAGGGGAGGGTCCTTCTTGCCTCTTCCAGCTTCTGGGGGCTCCAGGCATCCCTGGACTCGTGGCCGCCTCCCTCCCATCTCTGCCTCCGTCTTCACGGGTCTTCTTCTCTGTGTCTGTGTCTCTCCTCTTCTGTCTCTTAGAAGGACCCTGTCATTGGATGTAGGGCCACCCTCCTCCAGGAGGACCTCATGTCAGACCCTTTGTTCCATCACATCTGCAGAGACCCTGTTTCCTAATAAGGTCCGGTTCTGAGGTTTTCAGAGGGTGTGACGTTTGGGGGGCACCGTTCACGCCAGGACGGCTGGTGTGGAGAGCCCTCACAACTGGCCGCCATACATAGCCACCGTACTGTGTGCCTGGGGCATTTCCAGCCCCACAGCCGAAAGCCTCGTGTAGACTGCAGCATCACCCTGTGGTAACTCTACTCCACGACTTAGCACAGAAACCAGAGGCCCGTGTCATCCGGCTCTGCAGGCTGCAGCTTTTTCTCCTGCTTTTGCCAATTCTGTTGCCCTCTTTTCTGTTTTATTCTTTCTGTTTTCCCTTGTCTAAAAGGAACCGTTAACGACCGTGTGTGAATTCTACGCAAAGCTCAGGCCAACTCCCCCCAAAGGCAGCGGCTAGAACCTGGGGACGCGGGGGCCTGGCGCCGGCCACGTATCCTCACTGCGGGGTCCTTCCTTGCAGACGGCCGGCTGGACACGGAGGTCTCGGAGTTCTACGAGGAGACCACGGTGAAGTTCTCAGAGCTGTCAGAGGAGCTGCTGTGGGAGTACATCAACAGCGGAGAGCCCATGTGAGTCTCTGTTGGGAGCTGCGGTGCCGAGTCCCCGCTGTGGGCGGCGGACACACCGGGCACGTGGCTCAGCCTGTGTTGGGGGCCAGGGCTCCTGACGAGCCCGGTGCCCCGGTGCCTGGAAGGTGCTGGAAGGATGCCTTCCTAGGGGTCCCCGTCCTGTGGATGCTCCTACAGCGCAGCCAGCCCTCCCAGGGCGCCACGCCCGCTCCCATGATGGTGGGGCAGCCGGGGCCGGTCCTTGGAGGGCAGAGGTCACCATGACCCCAATGTCACTGACTGCCCCAAAGCGCGCCGGGTCCGGGCAGCAGTCTTCTCAAGGTCACGGAGGCTCAGCTCATTCTGCAGCCTCGCTGGCTTCACTCCCCACCCCCGCCGGGGCTGGGCTCGGCGCCAGCTGGCGGCTGCTGGCCTCGCCACGGGTCTGACGGTGCCCCGGGGACCAGCCTCCCCATGTATCTTCAGGAAGCGGCTCACTCAGGGTGCTCGCGAGGGGCCGGGCACTGACAGCCGTGGGGAGGTGAGCGCAGAAGCCCTGGGCTCCTGAGACCGAGGGTCCGAGCATGTGTTCTGCTGGTTAAAGCCGGTCTCAGGCCTGTTCAAGGTAAAGGCAGGGGAGAAGAGTCTCCCTGGGGTATTGATCTTGTGGAAGCAGCCCCAGCAAAGGAACTCCCCGACCGGCTTGTCCTTCTGGCAGGCGTGGCAGCCCCCACTGCAGGGTAGTGAGGGGTGTGCTATGCGCCCGGCCCTGTTCTCACCGTCTTCTGTGATGATGAGCCCTCACGGGAGCCTCAGATCTGGGGCATCCTAGTCTGCTTGGGGGCCCAAGAAAGCGCTACAGGCAGGGAGCTTGTAAACACGAGACTTATTTCTCACCGTCCTGGAGGCTGGAGGTCTGAGATCCTGGCGAGGCCAGATTTAGCGTCTGGTGAGGCTGCTTCCTGGTTCATAGATGGTGACTCCTCGCTGTGTCCTCGCCTGGAGGAAGGGGCCAGGGAGCTCCCTGGGGTCTCTTTTAGAAGGACACTAATCCCATCCACGGGGGCTGCACCCTCATGACCTCATCACCTCCCCGAGGTCCCACCTCCTGACACCATCGCGTTGTGGGTTAGGATTCTGCAGGGCGCCGGGCTCTGGGTGGTGACGGCTGTCAAGAGCGGAGCTGCTGGGTATCGGGGTGTCTGATCAGGACAACACACCAAAACGAGAGGCAGGGTCAGGCCGTTCCCGCTGCAGCTGCAGCGGGACCAAGAGGCCGAACCAGAGGGCGTGCCAGCTCCCCCGTCCCCTTTCCCCCAGGAAAGGGCCCGGGCGAGGGTTGGGGGGTGAGCACAGGCGTGAGGACCATGGGGGTGGGTTCACTGCCGGGGGGGGGGCCCAGATCACTGCCCCTGTTGCTTTATGGACCCGTGTCTGGCACAGCGGGAGAGGCGGGGGAGTCAGGGCGGAGGGAGGGGCTTCACGGGCCCCTCTTCCCCCGTAAGGAGGTCTCAGCAGTGGCGCCTGGGGAAGACCTGGGCCGAGGACCCACATGAATGGACATCCGAGGGACGGGGATGCAGGTGGCAGGAGAGTACGGCCGGGGGCCTGGGTCCTTGACAGCAATCCCCCTCCCCTCAGAGAGCCTGCTGGTGGCCATGCGCCAGGCCTGGGGTGGGGGGCAGCTTCCTGAGTGGCCGCCAGGTGCCCCTCGTCACGTCCCAGGAGCGGGACCGAGGGGTCACTTGGGATCTGGGCCCGGACGCCCCAGTGCACAGCCACCCGGGTCCAAGGTTGGTGGGTTCCCCTGCAGGGGTCCTGGCTGCAGGTCTGCTGACCCCAGGAAGGTCAACGTCGCTGCCATCTTCTCTACCCTCCTTCCCTCCCCGCTGTGGTTCCCCGCCCCAGGGACAAGGCTGGCGGCTACGGGATCCAGGCGCTGGGCGGGATGCTGGTGGAGTACGTGCACGGGGACTTCCTCAATGTCGTGGGCTTCCCCCTGAACCACTTCTGCAAGGAGCTGGCACGGTTGTACTACCCGCCCCGCCCCGAGGACCTGCGGCGGGTCAGGCACGACTCCATCCCCGCCGTCGACACCTTCGAGAACCTGAGTGACTCGGAGGCAGGTGGCTCAGACCCAGGTCAGAGCGCCAAGGGCGGCCGTGGTGGCGAGCAGGCGGACGGAGACCGGTCACAGGCTCCGCGTGCGCTGGATGCAGCCCTTAACGGGGCGGACAGCCGGCCCCCGTTCCCCACGGGCCTCCTGGAGCTGATGGACGGCTTCAAAGCATCCAAGGTACTTGTGTGATTCATGACCACATGACCCCAACACAGGGGAGCCCAAAACTGCAGGCATCCATCCTCCCCCATCCCGGGGACCACAGCTCAAGGTGTCCCAGGGCTGCGCTCCCTCCAGAGGGTCCCGGGGAGGGTCCTTCCCGCCTCTTCCAGCTTCTGGGGGCTCCAGGTGTCCCTGGGCTCGTGGCCGCATCCCTCCCGTCTCTGCCTCTGTCTTCCCGGGGCTTCTCCTCTGTGTCTGTGTCTCTCCTCTTCTGTGTCTTAGAAGGACCCTGTCATTGGATGTAGGGCCACCCTCCTCCAGGAGGAACTCATCTCAGACCCTTCACTGCATCACCTCTGCAGAGACCCTGTTTCCACATAAGGCCTCATTCCCATATTTTGGGGGTCAGGGCATGCACATATCCTTTTGGGGCCACCGTTGAGGCCATAACTGTGGTCTGTGCCTGGAGGGGGCAGGGCGGGGTCTGTGCGGGTGTTTGAAGGTAAGCAGGCCTCACGTGACCCCAGTGAGGGGCCACATTATGTCCCCAGCCCAGGGAGGTGGGGCTGGAATGCCGGCCGTGCGGCCTCCTCTGGGACCCTGCAGCCCTGCTGGCTGGGCAGCAGGTGGATTGTGGCCCCTAGGACGCCAGCTGCCTGCAGGGCAGACCAGGTCAGTGTGTGTGTCCTCGTCGTCCTGTGGCCTCTGGATCTCGGGCAGCCGTCCCAGCCAGAGGGTGTCCTGGGCAGGGGAGGGGGCAGTGCTGGGCTGCTCGATGCTTCCTGGAACCACCAGGTACCTTTGACCACAGGTTGCCCTGTGCCCACGTGCAAGGCAGCTGTGTGCAGGTGCTTCAGGGAAGCCCCAGGCCCGGGGCCCGATGGGAAGTGGGTTGGGCAGCGGCCCATCCAGCTGGCGTCCACCATCTCTCTGGCTCTTGTGGACGCACTTGTGCACCCACCCAGCTGTGACACGTGGCCCGGCCCTCCCCCTTCCCCACCAGACCCTCTCCTGCAGCTCTGGGCTCCTGGGGGTTGGAGCAGGGGGCGGCCTTGCTCGTGCTGGGGCCCCTCAGGGGTAGCCTCAGTGGCTCGTGGAGTGACAGGACACTGGCTGGGGAAGGACCGGGGGCCTGACCTTCCCCCCCTCCACCCCGGCCACCTTCCTGTCACCTCCTCCTCAGGAGAGGGGACCTGTGTGCCTAGGACAGAGGTGGTTATGCTGCGTTGTAAGTCAGATTCTCTGATCCACCTGGAGACGCTGGCGCAGACAGCGCTGCTGCAGCCCGTCAGGCTGGCGCTCGGTGGAGTTGTGCTGTGCTTGCACGGTCTATCGCTCTAGCGTCTATCCATCCATCCGTCTGTCCATTTCATGTGTCTGTCATCTATATCATCAATCTATATATACTGTCCTTATTGTCCGTCAGCGTGCCTATCACCTGTCCGTCCGTCCTCTGATCTAGGTATAATCTATATCCGTCGTCTATGTATGTCTGTCGTTTACCTGTATCTATTGTTACTATCATCTCTCTGCCTTCTGTCCGTCCGTTCGTGCATCCGTCTCCCTACCTATCATTTATCTACCCACCAATGTATCAGTCGTCTATCCAGCTATGTCTCATCTGTGTCTATCTATATCTATCTATACATATCGTTATATATACATATATCATTACCTATCTTCTCTGTATCCACCGTTAATGTAGCTATCATTTACCTATCTGTATCTATCTGTATCCCTCTACATCGTCGATGTATGCACACCTATGGTTATCTAGCTATATAGCTATCATATATCTATCCATCCTTCTGCTTATCTGTGTGTAATTTATACTTATTGTCTCTATATCTGTTGTTGTCATCTGTCTTCTCTCCATTGTTCATCCGTCCATTTTCCTATCGTTTGTCTGCCTCTGTCTGTTTATCTATTTATCTGTCATCTGTCTATCCACCTGCTTATCTGTCACGTCTATCTGTGTCTATCGTCTGTGTCTATTATTATTCCTACCTATGTGTCCACCCATTTATTTATCCTCTCTGTCTATCTGTCTATATCATCTACATGTCTATTATTATCACCTGCCTACCTGTCTATCCCTCCATCCACCCATTTACCCATCTATCACCTGTCTGTATCTGTCACCCATCTACATACCTCCCCATCTGTCCATCCACCCTCGTGTGACACGGGTCTCCTTACAAAGGTCTCCCAATGGCTGACCATGCTGACCAAGCCGGGGTCTGCTGGGGGTCTTGGAGCAAGTGTCACCCACCCCCCGCCCCAGATCAGTCATGGTAGTTCTGGACGCAGCTCAGGGAGGGCCCTTTCCCGAAGTGCCCCTTTACTCATCCCTGGAGGTGTCTGCGTTACGACGAGGTGAGAGCTCCAGGGAGGTTTACGGTGTCACGTGAGGGTGTGTCCCGAGCAGCGTGGAGCGTCCGTGTCCTGCGCAGAGGCCCCATCTCCACATGGTGTCATCCTGAGGTCCTGGGACTTGGGGCGTCGACGTAGGAACCTTGGGGGGACACCGCACAGCCCCTGACAGCAGTACTTTGGTCTTTCTCTGCTGGGACAGTTTCTCTGCTTGGTGTTCATCGACTTGGTCTTACCTGGAGCAAACCTTGTACAACCTGGAGCCTAAACCCACTCACCTCTGCAGAAGTTTCCCTTGATGAGCTCGATGTTTTTGACCATCCTGCCGTCCCTCTTTGGAGTCCCTGGGAATAAAGAGCAATTGATAAGTCACGTTGTACGTCTAACTGTAACTGTTCTTCGCGGACAGGTCCTGTTCACGGCTTGCAAGCTCAGACTGTTTGATGTGTTAAAAGACCAAGGCCCCCTGCAGGCCGCGGATGTCGCCCGCAAACTCAGCACCTGCGCGGGCAGGACTGAGCAGCTGCTGGGTGTGTGCGCGGCCCTGGGCTTGCTGGAGAAGACGCGCAGAGGTGAGGGGCTTCCTGGGTGTCTTTCCAGCAACTGTGCCTGCGAGACCAAGTCACCAGGTGACAGTGGCTTCTGAGCCGAGGCAGGGAGGACAGACCATGCGTCATCCCTGTGCCCCAAGAATGCCCCAGAGGGTCAGCAGAGGATGGGTGGAAGGAGGAAATGCGCGCGCGTGCGTGTGTGCGTAGTGTGTGTGTGTGTGTGTGGTGTGCGCGTGTGTGCACGTGCGTGTGCGCGTGCATGTGTGTGCGCGTGCGCGTGTGCGTGTGTGGTGTGTTAGGAGACAGGCTTCTTTATGGGCTCAGAGGGCCTGTATCAGCCAGGGTTCTCGAGAGAAACAGCCCATAGGGTTTGTATGTGTGCACAGCATAGATACCAGTTTATTCTTCCTTATTTGTTTAGATAGGCAGACAGATGAGGTGGATGGATGGATAGATAGATATCGATTGATAATAGAGATGATAGATAGGTACGTGGATGGATAGCTAGATGATAGATAAACATGATACGTGGATGGGTGAATGGACAAATAGGTAATACATGGGTGGGTGGATAAATGATAGATAGATGGATTGTGTGGTTGATAGGTGGGTGCATAGATATGTAGATAGATAAGCAGATAGATGGATGAAGAGGTAGAGGATAGAAAGATAGCTAGGTTGATAGGTGATACATAAATAGAGGACAGGTGGATGGATAAATAAATGGATGGATAGATAATAGGATAAGTAGATGGATAGATGACAGATAAATAGATGATGGATGGATGGGTGGGCGGATAAATAGGTAGTAGATAGGTTGATAGATCAATAGATATAAATTGATAATAGAGATGATAGATAATAGATGGGTGGATGGACAAATGATAGATAAATAGATGACAGATGATAAAAAGATAGATAATAGACATAGATACATGCATAGATACATACACAAATGCTAGATGGTAAGTAAATAAATAGATACATAGATGGATACATGATGAAGATAGATGATTACTAGATGAGAGAGATACATGTAGGTGACTGATAGGTCATAGATGCATAGGTAGATAGACAGTTCGGTTGATAGGTGGATACTTAGGTATGTAAGTAGATAAGTAGATGGATGAACAGGTAGAGGATAGAAAGATAGATAGAGAATAGAATAGATATGATGGATTAGATAGAGAATAGAATAGATATGATGGATTAGATAGACAATAGAATAGATATGATGGATTAGATAGAGAATAGAATAGATATGATGGATGAGATAGATAATAGAATAGATGTGATGGATTAGATAGAGAATAGAATAGATATGATGGATTAGATAGAGAATAGAATAGATGTGATGGATTAGATAGACAATAGAATAGATGTGATGGATTAGATAGATAATAGAATAGATGTGATGGATTAGATAGATAATAGAATAGATGTGATGGATTAGATAGAGAATAGAATAGATGTGATGGATTAGATAGAGAATAGAATAGATGTGATGGATTAGATAGAGAATAGAATAGATATGATGGATTAGATAGAGAATAGAATAGATATGATGGATGCATAGATCAATGATAGATAGATGATAGATGATAGAAAGATAGATAGATAGATGATAGAAAATACATGATAGATGGAGGGATGGATGAATAGATAATAGATGGGTGGATGGATAAATGGTAGATGAATAGAGAGATGATAAAAAGATAAATGATCGGTATATAGATACATGTATACATGCACAGGTGATAGATGATAAACGAATAGGTGGATGGTAGATGGATGAATAGGTGATGTTGAAGATAGATGATTACTAGATGAGAGAGATACATGTAGGTGACTGATAGGTAATAGGTGGATAGGTAGATACGTAGATAGAAACAGATAAAACGAAGTAGACGGCATATGTGGTAAATGGACGGATGAAGGGTGACAGTGTGGGTTTGCTGGGTGCACAGAGCTCTCGAGGGTGTTCTCAGAGCAGAGGGTGCTACGGATGGTCCTTGAGCAGATGGAGAGAGGCAGGGGCTCAGAAGACCCCAGAGCAGGAGACACAGCACCCCTTCTGTGGTGAGCAGGGAAGCAGGGTGCTGGCGGAAGCCCCCCAGAGCCACCCCTCATACGAGAGGCGGACAAGTACACGCTAAAGATTTGGGTCGCGGGATGCAGAACATCCCCCCAGCCAGAGCATCTTAGTAATGTTCTCCTCCATTAAAAAAAATATATATATTTATTTATTACGTTTGGCTGCATTGGGTCTTTGTTGCTGCGTGTGGGCTTTCTCTAGTTGTGGCGAGCAGGGGCTACTCTTCATTGTGCTGTGCGGGCTTCTCATTGCGGTGGCTTCTCTTGGTGTGGAGCACAGGCTCTCGGCGCACGGGCTTCAGTAGTTGTGGTTCACGGGCTCGGTAGTTGTGGCTTGCGGGCTCTAGAGCACAGGCTCAGTAATTGTGGCACGTGGGCTCAGCAGTTGTGGCGCACGGGCTTAGTTGCTCCGCGGCATGTGGGATCTTCCCAGACCAGGGCTCGAACCCGTGTCCTCTGCATTGGCAGGCGGATTCTTAACCTCTGTGCCACCAGGGAAGCCCCTCTCCTCAACTGAAAATAATGACCAAATGTGGAGAAAGGGTCCAAGGTCCGGACTTCCAGTCCCTGCTACCTGGCAGACGCCCTGCAGGGTCCTCAGCTGAGCCCTGCCAGCCACTCCTGTGCCTCTGCACGGGGCCTGGGGTGGGGCGGGCGGGGGTGGTGCTGCCCTTCAGAGGACCCCAGGCCTCAGAACTCAGAGCTCTCGGTCATTAGGGAACACTGCTCAGCGTCTGTGACAACCTAAATGGGAAAAGAATTTGAAAAAGCACAGATACGTGTCTACGCGCAACTGAATCACTCCGAGTGCACCTCAAACCAACACAACATCGCTCACCAACTATGCTCCAATATAAAATAAAACGTTTTTAAAAATATATATTTATATAATTAAAGATAATAGTCTTTAAAAAAAAACGTGTGAGGACTTCCCTGGCGGTTCAGTGGTTAAGGCTCCACGCTTCCACTGCAGGGGGCCTGGGTTCCACCGCTAACTAAGATCCTGCGTGCCGTGCGGTGCCGCCACAAAAAGGAAAAAAAGAAAATTAAGCAACAGTAAAAATTCAGTTTCTAAAGCAAACAAACAAAGACAACATGTAAAGTGCCAAATGGGGCTTCCCTGGTGGCGCAGTGGTTAAGAATCCGTCTGCTGATGCAGGGGACACGGGTTCGAGCCCTGGTCTGGGAAGATCCCACATGCCATGGAGCAACTAAGCCTGTGCGCCACAACTACTGAGCCTGCGCTCTAGAGCCCGTGAGCCACAACTACTGAGCCCGTGAACCACAACTACTGAAGCCCGTGCGCCTAGAGCCCGTGCTCCGCAACAAGAGAAGCCACCACAATGAGAAGCCCGCACACCACAACGAAGAGCAGCCCCCGCTCGCCGCAACTAGAGAAAGCCTGCGTGCAGCAACGAAGACCCAACGCAGCCAAACATAAATATAATTAATTAATTAATTAAAAAAGAAAGTGCCGAATGGACAGTTAGTTTCAATAAACTTTTTAAAAGTTCAGAAAAGGAAAACCGTAGACACCATGCTGTTCTGTCCGTCCGACGACAGACGGTGTTACGTGGGGCTGTGGTGTTACGTGGGGCTGTGGAGGTACAGGGAGTCTCAGCCACCGTCCCCTCTGCCTGCAGCCTCCAATTCTGCAGGTAGGGGTGTCCCGGAAGGGCCCTTGGGGGCCGGGCCGGATGGACAGCCCGCCAGGAAGTGGGAAGAGAGCGGGCCGCCCCGTACCCCTCAGGGCTCCGGAGAGGCAGACCCCGCGGGATATGGACAGACGGGTCCGTGCCTTTGGGCTCCGGCGCGTCTGAACCCCTGCGGCTGGCCGCTCGGTGCTTCTCTGCTCTCAAGGCCGTCAGCTGATGGGATGAGACCCACCCGCGTTACCTAGGGTCACCTCCTTTACCCGAAGTCTGCTGACTTGCAGGTGCGAAGCACATGACCAAACGGCGCCCTCTCCCCGACGGGGACGTCTCACTGGGGACTGTAGCCTGGCCAAGTGACCATGCCAGGGGCTTGGAGGGTCACCTCGAGGAAGAGCAACACCCTTGCGTCGTTCTCTGGGCCGCCTCTGGGCGTCCGTGCGCTTGGCGCTTAGTCAGATAGACATCCTGATGACGCTGGGTGGTGGCTCACCCCGCGGTCAGCTGAGCCGTCACACAACGCCCCGTCCTTTCAGGTTACGGCAACACGGAGGTGGCGACCCTGCACCTAGTGTCAGACGGCGAACACTCTCTCCAGGGCCTGGCCGAGTACAATGACGCCCACGTCTGGGGCGTCTTCACACGCCTGGGCCTGGCCGTGCGGGAGGGGGCAGACCAGACCCGCGGGGTTCTGGGGGCGATGGAGGAGGAACGCCTGTCCCAGGTACTGTAACCCCCGTGTTCCTTTTCACGCCCCGTCTGTGCTGCGAAAGGACCAGTGGGCATGGAAACATCTCAGATTCTGGCCGATGTGGGAATCCCTGCGGGAGGCCGCCGTGGCGGGGAGGGTGCGGCTGGCTGGTCACAGCTCCTGAAAAGAGGGCTTTTCTAGGAAGGGGCTGCCTTGAATCAAGGCACCGTGTTTCCTACGTGGAGTTGCATTGCACAGACTCCTGGTTCTTAGCTCAGCGCAGGGTGTGCAAAGGGCTTCCCGGCCCTTCCCCCGCCCCCTGGCACCCCCGACCCCTGTTCACCGTTGTGTGGGAGGGAAGGGGTCTCAGAGGGTCTTGGGTGATAATCTGAGGGTCTTGGGTGGTCTCGGGGGGTCTCAGAGGGTCTTGGAGGGTGTCGGGGGTTCTTGGAAGATCTTGGGTGGTCTTGGAGGGCCTCGAGGGGTCGTAGAGGACAGTGTCCTGGGAGATGCTGAGGTCCCCAGGCCCGAAATCTGGGTGAAATGGCAGCAGCACCATCGTGGCCTCAGGCAACGAGTCCGGCCCCCTCGGGCCCCGGTCTGCACCCCCCGCCCCTTGGGATTTCAGCTGACTCCCTGCCCATCCCTCGCCTCCTGACCACCCTCAGGAGCCCTAAGAGTGTCAGGCCCAGGCGGGTCCCGTGCACGCTGGCCTCCTTCTCTGCCCCAGGGACTCATTCCCTCCCACCCGGGTGGGGCCCGAGCACACATGGACCCCACCGGGGAGCTGGGCAGGGAGCCCTGGTCTCTGTAAACGATCAGATCAGATCATCCTCAGTGAGGTGACAGCTGAGGGGGCAGGGGGTCGTTATCCCCTAAGTCCTCCTGGTTTGGTCCAGTGAGACCCGAGTGGGGAGTCGGCAGTCTCCCAGGAGGAGATCCCCTGCAAACTGGAAATCAGACCCAGAGAGTGCGCTGTGTCAGGGTGCAGTGGAGCTGCCCTCCTGGCAACGCTCCAGCCTCACCGCCAAGGTGGACACAGTTCAGACCCAGTGCCCCCTCCCACCCTCCTCTACCCAGGCCCCTCCCACCCTGCTCTACCCCGGACCCATCCCCGCCCTCCTCTACCCCGGACCCCTCCCACCCTCCTCTACCCCAGGCCCCCTCCCACCCTGCTCTAGCCCGGACCCCTCCCACCCTGCTGTACACCGGACCCATCCCCGCCCTCCTCTACCCCGGACCCATACCCACCCTCCTCTACCCCAGGCCCCTCCCACCCTCCTCTATCCCGGACCCCTCCCACCCTGCTCTACCCAGACCCCTCCCACCCTGCTCTACCCAGACCCCTCCCACCCTGCTCTACCCCGGACCCCTCCCACCCTGCTCTACCCCGGGCCCCTCCCACCCTCCTCTACCCCAGACCCCTCTCCATGATCCCTGCTGAGCTCCCCACCCACACGAATGCTGGGTGGAACCTCATCCCGGGTGCAGGACGGCCTGCGCTCCGGGTGGGTCTCCTCAGACCTGCTTCCACCACCAGAACAGGGAGCTGACGCTGCAGTTCATGAGGGCCAAGCACAGCCTCAGCAAACTGACCGCCCACCACGTGGCCACGGCCTTCGACCTGTCCCGATTCGCCTCTGCCTGCGACCTGGGAGGTACACTCACCCCCCCCCCCCAGGAGTCGGGTGCAGAGGGCTACGTGCTTTTCTTCTTTTGTATTAAATCTAGGGCACCTTACCTGCTAATGAGACTTGCAGAATGGGTTTATCTCTACAAACCATCTGAGGACCTAAATATATCCAGGGTGGGTGCGGGGGCTTGGGCTGATATTCCCAAGTGCTAGGAGGTCCCGGGGATGGCCCAGGACCCCCGTAGAGGTTATGGGACCCTTCCTGGTGGCTGCCAAGTAGGGGAGGGGCTGTGGAGCCCATCTGCTGCCATTGCGTCAGGTCTAATTATGCCACACACACCCTCCACCCCATCCCAACCAATCCTTTCCCCAGGACAGTGGATGGAGGAGGAGTAGTTGCCCTGCCCAAGGGGTGTAGTGGGATTGGTGTCCAGGAGGGCTCCTAAGCTGCCAGCTTGCGTTTCCCCACCCTCTGCACACCTGTCCTCCTGGTGGTCCAGAGTGGCTGCTGTGGCACCAGCCATTGCGTCTGCATTCCCGCAGCACAAAGGGGCAGGGAAGAGTACGACTCCCTAGAGCTTTGCTGCCAGGATTCCCCACGAGTCTGTGCCCACCTCACTCACCTGCTCTGGGCCAGCACCCGCCCACGAGGCCCTGACTTTGAGACACCAGTGATCTCCCCACTGGCTGACCTCATTTCAGGGCACAAGCCTCAGGCCGCATCTGAGAGCATCGTTTTGGTTTTGCCAGAGCTGAACTCTGGAGACACTCCAAGGGTTTCACACATGCCAGGAGGGTCCAGAGTCTGCCTTTGCTTCTCGCAGGCTGCACGGGCATCCTGGCCCGCGAGCTCGCCCAGGAGTACCCGCGTCTGCAGGTGACGGTGTTTGACCTCCCAGAGGTCACTGAGCTCTCTGGGGGCTTTCAGCGTGGCGGACGACAGACAGAGCGGATCCGCTTTGTGCCAGGTTAGCGTGGTTTCGTGTCCACCAGGTGTCAGCATTTGGGTGACCTTATTTATCTCGTATGCAGAGCGGGTGTGTGTGTGTGTGTGTCTGTATGTGTCGGTATACGTGTGTCTGTGTCTGTGTGTGTATCCATCTTTCTCTGTGTTTCTGTCTGTATGTCTGAGTGTGTACATTTCTGTTTGTGTGTTTCTGTGTCTGTGGGTATGTATCTGGGTCTGTGTGTATGTATGTGTATATATGCACATTTCTGTGTGTTTCTGTGTCTGTATGTGTGTATCTGTGTCTATGTACATGTATATGTATGTATCCGTGTGTCTGTGTGTAGCTCTGTCTTTGTGTGTCTGTGTATGTATCCATGTTCCTGTGTCTGAATATGTTTGTATCTGTGCATCTGTATATCTGTGTGTATTCTCTGTGTGTCTGTATGTGTCTTATATCCATGTTTCTGTGTGTTTCTGTGTCTGTGTGTGCATATATACTGGTGTATCTGTGTGTCTGTGTGTGTCTCAGTTCTCTGTGTGTCTGTGTGTCTCTATACATGTATGTATCTGTGTGTTGATGTGTTTGTATATGCGTATGTGTCTGTGTGTGTGCGTGTATCTTGGTGCGTGTTTGCACATCTACACACAGGGGCGCATCTGCAAACCCTGAGAACAGGAGTTTGAAGTTCTCAGCGAGGGGAGTAGCCGGGCGGGAGGGCAGGTGGGGATGGTCACGGGCCAAGATCGGCGTCTGTAGATGTCGACCAGCGACCCAGGCCTCACAGGGAAGTGACACGGGGGCTACAGCAGGAGGGCCTTGGGGTGGATGTGAGGAAGGACTTCCTGGCGGGACCGGATTGAAAGGAAACTCTTGGCATCTGGTGACTCATCCACACTGCGGCCCGGCCTGAGGGTGGATGTGCTAGACAGGCCTGTGCCCCACGACCACCTGATACTTTCCTACTTAAAAAAAAAGAGCCAGTCACCCTGCTGTCACCCTGCTGTGGACTGAATTGTGTCCCCAAGTGCCTATGTTAAAGCCCCACCCCCAGTGTGACTCTTATCTGAAGGTAATTAAGGTGAAGGAGGTCACAAGGGTGGAGTCCTAATCCAGCAAGACTGCGTCCTTAGAAGGGACACCAGGAACATCTATCTATGTATCTATCGTTTATCCATCATCTATCTATCTATGTATGTACCGTTTGTCTATCATCTATCCATCCATCCTCTATCTTTATATGTATGGTTTATCTATCTCTTTATCGTCTATCCATCCTTCCACTTATTTGTCTATCAGTGTATCTATCCATATCTATCCATCTATCTATCATCTATCTATGTATGTATCATTTATCTGTCATCTATTCATCCATCCTCTGTGTATCGTTTATTTATCTATCATCTATCCATCCATCCACTTAGTCATTTATCAGTGTATCTATCTGTCCATCCATATCTATTTATCTGTCTGTCCATCCAACTATTATCTGTCTGTGTATATATCATTTGTCTATCTGTCCGTCCATCATCTATCTACCTGTGTATCGTTTATTTATCATCTATCCATCCATCCACTTATTCATCTATCAGTGTACCTATCTGTCCATCCATATCTATCTATCCATCCATCTATCATCTATCTGTCTGTCCGTGCATTATATCTACCATCTAGCTATCTATCCATCCATTCGTCCATTTATTCATCTATCATCTATGTAACTATCAATGTAGCTATCTATCCATCTGTCATATCTATCTTTTATCTACCTGCCTTTATATCACTCACCTATCACTTATCTGTATATCTATCATCTATTATTTATCATCTATGCATCCATCCACCTATCATTTATGTCCTATCCTATTTATCTATCTAATATCTATTATCTGTCCATATCATGTATGTATCCATCCATCATATCTATTCTATTATTTATCATCTATTTATCTATCACGTCTATATCTATCTCTCCATCCATCATATCTGTTATCAATCTGTGTATCATCTGTGTATCTATCATTTATCTATTATCTATATCTATCTATTCAATATTTATCGATCTATCAATCATTTGTCTACCTCTCTGTCTTTATATCAATCATATATCTATCATCTATTTACCTGTCTCTCTATTATTTATCATCTATCTTTCCGTCCATCCATTCACCTATCATTTATCTGTTATTTCTTTGTATGTATGTATGTATGTATGTATCTATCATCTATCTCTCCCCACGGTGAGGACACAGCGAGTAGGCCACTACCTACAAGCCAAGCAGAGTGTCCTCCGCAGGAACTGACCCTGCCAACACCTTGATCTCGGATGTCCAACCTCCAGACCATGAGAAATCAACGTGTGTTGTTGAAGCCCCTGTCGGTGGGACTTTGTTGCTTCTGCCTGAGCTGACAGAGACACACCCTAAAGCTTCAAATCTAGGAGCAGCACGATGGAAGCTGTGCTACTGATTCACCATGTATAGGAAAGAGAACCACGAAAGCAAAAGAAAAAGAAGTGCATATTGCCCATCTCTGTGCAGCTGTCTGGGGCCACCCCGTGTAGACTTGTCTGCACCCCCGTGTTTACTCTCCCTTCATGCCAATTCGAAGTGTTTTCTTTCTTTCTTGTTTTGTGTGTGTAAATGTGAGCTACATCTAACCCTTTGTGGAATGAGGCAGGGTTAGGAGTAACAAATAGCAAAGGTGTCTGTGTCCACAGTTACAGATACACATTTGGTAGATGCAGGGACAAATGACCCCAAACTGGGGGCTTAAAGTGACCCGAATCCATCCTCCTTCAGTTCTGGAGATCAGACCTCTGAGGTCGAGGTGTCCCGCGCTCCCTCCAGAGGCTCCAGGGGAGGGTCCTTCCCGCCTCTTCCAGCTTCTGGGGGCTCCAGGCGTCCCTGGGCTTGTGGCTGCCTCGTTCCCGTCTCTGCCTCTGTCTTCACGGGGCTTCTCCTCTGTGTCTGTGTCTCTCCTCTTCTGTGTCTTAGAAGGACCCTGTCATTGGATGTAGGGCCACCCTCATCCAGGAGGACCTCATCTCAGACCCTTCCCTTCATTTCATCTGCAAAGACCCTATTTCTAGAGGGCCCGTCCCCAGGTCAGCCCTTGAACGTCTCTTCTTTGGAGAACACAGATCTCCCCACTGCAGGCAGCGTCTCTTTCGGTTTCATCCCTTGTAGGACGTGGTGCAACTCCTTTCCGTCGGGTGCAGGACCAGTTCCTGTGGCCCTAACGGTTCAATGCCATTTGTTTTTAAACCAGGTGACTTTTTCAAAGACAGCCTCCCGGAAGCAGATCTGTACGTCCTTTCCAGAATTCTGCAGGACTGGCCGGATGACAAACTCCACAAGCTACTGAGCCGGATCTCAAGCAGCTGCAGACCAGGTGAGACCACATCATGTACTTGCCTTTTTTAACACATAAAGACAGTTTCCAATTTTTAAAAAAGCGTACATTTTATAGAGGAAGCTCCCCGTCCTCCAGCCTGCCGTCTGGTGCTCAGTTTACCGGCTCCCTGAGGACGTACCTGATTCTCGGGCGTCAGTGATGCGTTTCGGAACTTTATGGCGCCAGCGTCTGGGGCTTGGGCTCGTGGACGCCCCCCACCCTAGCCGTGTCCCTCCCCAGGCCCCGCCGGCCTCAGGGTCTCCCTCCTCCGATGATGATGATTTTCCGGGCTGCTCTGTGGTACCCAGCCTCTCCCCACGGCGCTCGGGGCCAACCTGGGTCATCGGGCTCATGGAGTCGAGGGCCCCAAGCCGCCCGGACCCCTCCCTGGGTCCCCACGTCCAGCGGCGCAAGACGAGCTCTCTTTCCACGTCCTGCGACCCCGGCGTCTCCCGGGGCACCTCCACTGCCTCTTCTGTGCGGTTATGAAACAAAATATTCAACAATCCGGGGTCATCTTCAACACCCAAATGCCCCTCCTGTTCTCCACCACTCAGGAAAACGACCCCCATTCCCGATCTTTTATTTGGGACAAAAACCAGAGCGAGGGTCGAGTCCATGCGGGCGGTGTCTGCAGGAAGTAACCACGTGGCAGCCGTCCTGGGGCCCCGTCTCCTATAGCCGTGACCTGTTCCCAGGACCCGTACGGTTCAGTACGACTGCAGCCCCTCCCCTGGGGTCTGAGCCCTGCAAGCTGTGACGAGCACCTCCATCTGGGGTACCCAAAGGGCTTTTTCTTTTTTTTTTTTTTTTAGTTAGATTTATTCTTTTTTTAGAGTATAGTTGCTTTACAATGTTGTGTTAGTTTCTGCTGTACAGCAAAGTGAATCTGTTGTATGTATACATATATCCCCTCTTTTATTTTATTTAATTATATATATATATATTTTTGGCTGCATCATGCGGCACTTGGGATCCTAGCTCCCCATCCAGGGATCAAACCCACACCCCCTGCATTGGAAGCGTGGAGTCCTAACCACTGGACCGCCAGGGAAATGCCTAGGAAAATATTAATAAAAGCGTGGAAGGCTAAGTAAAATTTTTAAATTAGCCAGTTTTAGTCCCCCAAACAACAGTGTAGTTAAGGCATTCTTGTTGGTCCCTGTAGCACGATGAAGAGGGTCCCCCCCCAAATTCACGTCCACCTAGAATATTATTTGGAAGCAGGGTCTTTGCTGATGTGATGAAGTGAAGGGTCTGACATGAGGTCTTCCTGGATGAGGGTGGCCCAAAATCCAATGACAGGGTCCTTCCAAGAGACAGAAGAGCAGAGACACAGACACAGAGGAGAAGCCCCAGCAAGACAGAGGCAGAGACGGGAGGGAGGCGGCCACAAGCCCAGGGACGCCTGGAGCCCCCAGAAGCTGGAAGAGGCGGGAAGGACCCTCCCCTGGAGCCTCTGGAGGGAGCGCGGCCCTGGGACACCTTGACCTCAGACGTCTGGTCTCCAGGACTGGGGGAGGATGGAGGTCTGTGGTTTTAAGTAGTTTGTTCCGGCCGCCCCAGGACACCCACGCAGCCTGTGAGATGCAGGTTTTCGTGTGGTCACAGGAGCATCACACGGACATTCGGGGTACCCTGCCCAAGAATGTGGCCCCAGGAGGGCCGGTTCCTGTTTGCTCCCTGCTGTGCCCCAGCCCGAGAACAGAGTCCCCACATAATGGATGGAACACAGTTGAGAAGGAAGGAATCACAAAACAGGGGTGCCCCCGGGGGCGAGGAAGGGCCGGGAGATGTGAGAGCTGGATTCTCACCCGCCTCAGAGACAGGCACTGAACCTGGGGACAGTCAGTTCCAAGTTGCCTTTATACTGCGAAGGGTTTTTGGGGGCGGGGGTGGGGGGGGTGGGCATGGGTGTGTTGCAGCTTAGACCTGCTGGCTAGAACCGCTTGTTAAATGTTCAGCACGCCTGCCAGCCAGCTCATACCAAGCTGTCAGCGTGAAATTGGCAGTGGAGGAAATCCTTAGAGCTCAGAAATTGGCAGGCACGGGGAACCAGGGCTTCCCTCCACCCCCGTAGCTGGGATTGCAAAGGTTGCCTGCACCCTGGGGACAGTGGGGGTCACAGATAAGGATTGAGCGTGACCTCCTGGGAATTCCCTGGCGGTCCAGTGGTTAGGAGTCTGCGCTTTCAGTGCCGAGGGCGCGGGTTCAACCGCTGGTCAGGGAACTAAGATCCTGCCAGCTGCACGGCAAGGCCAAAAAAAACCAAAAAAAACCCCCTCAATATAGGGCTTTTGGAGCCGCTGAGTTAATAAACCCGTGTATCCATGAGTCTGAAAAACATAAAAACTGACAGAATGAGCACACCATGTGATCTCTTTTTTTTTTTTTTTTTTTTTTTGTGGTACGCGGGCCTCTCACTGTTGCGGTCCCTCCCGTCGCGGAGCACAGGCTCCAGATGCGCAGGCTCAGCGGCCATGGCTCACGGGCCCAGCCGCTCTGTGGCATGTGAGATCTTCCCAGACCGGGGCACGAACCCGCGTCCCCTGCATCGGCAGGCGGACTCTCAACCACTGCGCCACCGGGGAAGCCCGATCCCAATTCTTTTTATTGAAGTATAGCTGCTGTACAATGTTATATAAGTTACAGGTGTACAGTATAGTAATTCACCATGGTTATAGGTTACACTCCGTTTATAGTTATTATAAAATATGGGCTCTATCCCCTGTGCTGTACCATACATCCTTGCAGCTGATTTTATACCTAATAGTGTGGAGCTATGATCCCAGTTTTGTTAACTTCATGTTTACTTAAATGCCTAGAACCCAAATGAGATTTTGCACCAAAATTCTCCCAGTTACCGTCACCGGCAAGCAGAGCTGGGACTCGTGTGCCGCCACCAGCTTTGTGCCTTTTCTCTGGTCTCCCCCGGTGACCCAAACAAAAGGAAGAAGCAAGCGTGAGCTACCTCCTGCCCCTCTGCTTTCTGTCCCAAGGCTTATCTTCTCCCGGCTTGGTTCCCCCTTCTTCACAAGCACTTCTGAAAATACATACAGAGAGTTGGACAGATACAGGTGTGTGTACACACACACACATGCATACTTTCTACTTCTCAAGGCTGTCATGTAGGTTGTTCCCACCAACAGTGCAGCTCCACATATAAACACCACTCTATATGAAATAGAGAACCAACAAGGACCTACTGTACAGCACAGGGAACTCTGCTCCAGTGTGTTGGAATAACCTATAATTGAAGAGAATAGAAAGAATATATATTTATATACATACATGTATAACGGAATCACTTGTCTGTACACCTAAAACTAACACAACGTTGCAAATCAAGTATAATTCAAAAAAAAAAAAAAGATAATCTCGCTGAACCAATTAAATGTCAGAAAAAAAAAAATCGTGCTCCTGGCACCCTCGTGGCCGGTGCCATCCCTGTGCCACGCAGGTCCGCCAGGGACACTGCTGCCAGGGAAGTCCCGGTGCAGTTCATTATGGCATCAGGGAGGCTGCAGCTGTGTCCCTACATTCAGAATCCCTGCCGTCCGTGTCTTCCTGCAGCGAATCCCTTCAGTGGGGAGCCCGGGGCACCCGCAGCCTGGGTCCTGAGACTCTTTCCCCACTCTATCTCTCTCTGTCTCTGTGTCTCTGGCTCCCCAGGCGGTGGCCTCCTGGTAGCTGAAGCAGTGGCAGAGGAGGAGGGGGCGTCGCGGAGCCCCCGGCTGCGGACCCTGAGCGCCGGGCAGCCCCGGAGCCCCGACGAGCACCGGCGCCTTCTGCAGCGACACGGCTTCCGGGACGTGCGGGTGGCGCGCGCGGGGGACCTGCTGTGCGTGGTCCTGGGCACCCGAGCTGCGCCCTGAGGGTCACCGGGAACCCGGCGGGCCCAGCACCCGGGAGTGAAGGGTTCCTGGAGAGCAGGTGTCACCGGACACATTAAAGGAGGCGGAAAGCACGGCTGTCTCCGCGCATCTGTGACGCGCCCGGGTGGTGGGATGCACGGGCGGGGGGACCCCGGGGCCGGCGAGGGATGCGCGGGCCAGGCCAGGTCCCCAGGTGATGTCAGCATCTCCCTCGCTCCCTCTTAGCTGGTAACTTGATCTTGGCGCATCTAGACCCTACTTCCCAGTGTTTCACTCCTATTTTCAGTGCGTTTGTCCTCTGCCCTCCCGGCCGCGTGCACCTTCTCTTACCTTCAGGGCGGCAGAACCTACCTCTGCCCCCGTCCATGGTGAAACCGCGTACAGGAGCTCACGCGGTGGGAGGTTTATGGGGTCAAGATGCTTGTTTACTGCAAACGTCCTCCAGGTACCTGGGTGAGGCTAAGTGTCTCTTCTCTTAATGACTAGGCGAGTACAGTGGTGACTGCGTAGCAATGTATACGTTGTCTGTTACATGTACACCATTATTGTTAGAAAAAAATGCCCCGAATGTCAGATGGGGTCCTTTCAAACAGGCCCCCTGTGAGTGTTGACATTCACCTGTGCTTTCCAGCTAA